ACCCAGGACAACTGGTTCCTCCCCGGATGACCGGCAGTCTTGGAATTATGGTAGGTACGCAGCAGGCGGGTGTGCAAACCCTCAGGTAAGAAACATCTACCAGCCGGTCTCTCAGAGGGAGAATCAGTTTGAGCCGCCAAAATCTGCTCCCCAAGGGGAGACGTCAGGCTGGTACGTATGGCAGCCAGGATCTGATCCGGAGGTATGACCGAGGTCGGCTCAGAGTCCTCACTGGACAGCTCAAAGTATCAGCCCTGACATTTTTGGAGCCAGGCAAATAGGAGACCACATAGTTAAAACGTGACAAGAACAGAGCCCATCTGGCCTGATGGGACGTCAACCTCTTAGCCTCCGAGAGATACGTCAGGTTCTTGAGGTCAGTGAGAATGAGAACCAGAACCGCAGAACCCTCGAGCAGGTGCCTTCATTCCTTGAGAGCCTGAATAATGGCCAACAACTCCCTGTCTCCAATCTGGTAGTTGCATTCTGCGGAGGAAAGCTTCCTGGAATAGAACCCACAGGGAAGTAGGGGTCCATCGGGCGACCGACGCTGAGACAGGAGGGCGCCTACTGCCGTCTCAGATGCATCAACCTCGAGGACAAAGGGCAACCCGGGATTGGGATGAGACCGTATCGGAGCCAAAGCGAAGGCGGATTTCAGAGCTTCGAGAGCTAAGATGGCCTCGGATGACCACTCGTGGGGATTACTGCCCTTCTTGGTCAGATCTGAGAGAGGTTTGGCCAGTGTGGAGAAGTTCCTGATAAACTTCCGATAATAGTTGGCAAATCCCAAAAAGCGCTGAATGGACCGAAGACCACTGGGACGAGGCCTCTGCAGAACTGCTGAAACCTTCTGAGGGTCCATGGAGAATCCCACAGCGGAAATGATGTAGCCCAAAAAGGCAGCCTGGGATCGGTGAAATTCACACTTCTCGAGCTTACAGAAAAGTTTGTTCTCACGTAACCGTTGCAGCACCCGCTTGACATCCTGGATATGAGACTCCATAGACGCAGAGTAGACCAGGATGTCGTCCAAGTAAACCACCACGCACTGCTGCAAAAAGTCACGAAAGACATCATTAATGAACTCCTGAAAACCGCAGGCGCGTTACACAACCCGAAGGGCATAATCAGGGATTCATAGTGGCCGGTTCTGGTGTTGACCGCGGTCTTCCACTCATCGCCCTCCTTGATCCGTACGAGGTTGTACGCAGCCCTAAGGTCCAGTTTAGTAAAGACTGTTGCTCCCTTAAGGCAGTCGAACAAATCGGTAATCAACAGAATTGGGTAAGCATTCTTAATCGTGATTCGATTGAGACCCCTAAAATCAATGCAAGGCCTCAATTCACCACCCTTCTTTTCACGAAGAAAAAGCCAGCTCCTGCTGGAGAAGTAGACTTGTGAATGTGCCCCCGGGAAAGCGCATCCGCAACGTACTCCTCCATGGCCTGATTCTCTGCAACCGAAAGAGGGTACACCCTGCCACGAGGAGGAGTGGCACCAGGCTGCAAGGCTATGGCACAATCGCATGGACGATGAGGAGGCAGAGCACCGGCGCGCACCTTGTCAAACACGTCCAGGTACTCCCCATAGTCAGTAGGCAATACAGAGTCCAAGGAGGCACACAACACCTTAACCGGTCCACGGATGCAACCGGCCCCACACTGTGGAGACCACAAGAGAATCTCGGCCGTCCGCCAATTAAAGGTCGGATTGTGTTCCTGAAGCCAGGGATATCCCAAAACCACAGAGTAGTGCGGAGAAGAAATTACCTGGAAACAGGCCAACTCCCTGTGAACAGCCAAAATAGCTACTTCAACCGGCAGGGTCTTGTGGGTAACCTGCGACGGTTGCAGGGGTCTGCCATCTATCGCCTCGAGAACCAATGGAGTAACTCGAGCCTGCAGAGGAATGGAGTACTGGCAGCAAACGAACTGTCCATAAACAACCCGCCAGCACCAGAGTCTACCAACACCTGGGCCGTCACGAGCCTTCCACCCAAGAGAGGACAATGGTGATTAGCGGTTTATTTTTGCGGGAAACCGGGGACAAGGAAACTCCACCCAAGATCTGCCCCCAACAGGATCTCCGGTGCGGGCATTTCCCGGACGGACCGGACAGCACTTCCGAAAATGCCCACCGAGACCACAGTATAGGCAGAGACCCTCCCGACGCCAAGAGGCCCGCTCCCCCTCGGAATGGCGAAGAAACCCCAGCTGCATGGGCTCACCACCAGACAAGCCATCCCCAGGAGGTGTGGGAGGAGAGGGAGGAATGGGTGGGACAGAAAACGTAGGCGCCAATCGGTTAGGAGGCCTCTGCAGGCGCTCCTTGAGTGAAGGCATCTCCCTGAGCAAGAAAGCAGCCACCAGAGCCTCATTGTTCAAACCCACCTCTGCCTCCAGGGTATGGCGTACTCTGCAACGGTCCGTGAACCCTGATGCATGGACATGAGCAGCTTAGCAGCAAAGGTGGAGCGAGCAGGCACATTGAATACCGTACGGAAGGAGGCAACAAAACCGGCAAACTCATGAATCACAGGGTTATCGTCCTCCCATAAGGGATTTGCCCAGGCCAAGGCCTTGTCCGAGAGCAGCGAGATTAGGAAGCCAACCTTTGACCTCTCAGTAGGAAAAGCGCGGGGTATCATTTCAAAATATATGCCCACTTGGTTAAGGAAACCCCGACACTGACTTGGTTCACCCCCAAAGCGCTGTGGAAGGGGAGCTGAACCAGTCATACCTCTGGGCACCGGAGGTGCAGCAGCAGATGTAGAGGTAAGCGCAACAACCGGAGCAACAGTGGGAGTGACAACCGGCCTAATTGCACAAGGAGCAAGGTGCGCTGTGTGTGCAAGCAGCGTCTGCAATGCCGGAACGAACTGATCCAACAAGAGATCCTGTTGATCAAGTCTGGCAACCAACATAGGGAGCGAGAGCGTACCTGCACCATCAGAATTCATGGCATTCGTGTAGTGTCAGGGAGCGAGGAGCCAGACACACAAGGTAGGTTTTTTAATATAAAAATAAAACAAGAGTCTATTGAAGTCCAATAATGGAAATCGTAGCCAAAGCCGGGGTCAAGAGCCAGGAAGAATCGTCACCAGAGCCGGGATCAGGAGCCAGGAAGAATCGTCGCCAGAGCCGGGATCAGGAGCCAGGAAGAATCCTCGCCAGAGCCGGGATCAGGAGCCAGGAAGAATCCTCGCCAGAGCCGGAATCAGGAACCAGGAAGAATGGTCGCCAGAGCCGGGGTCAGAAGCCCGGAGGAGTCTTAGCCAAAGCCGAGTCGGTATCCAGGAAAGCAATGAGTAGCTAAACAGGAGTTTGCTGCTGGGCAAAGACAGGACACGAATGCAATGAACAGCTACCAACAGCAGACTTAAATGTGATAAGCCGCACCTCCTGGAGGAGGAGCCGCAGAGGGCTGAAGGCATAAAAGGATCCCACAATGCTTTGCAGACACCTAAGATGGATGCCAGCATATGGAGCAGCACAAGCCCTGAGGAAAGGTAGGACCTTGACATAATCCAAGGTCCTCCTGCGCTATATGAATGAACTCAATGAATGAACTCAACCTATTCAATAGCCGCCAGCACTCAAAACTGATACCAATCCACAGTGTCAATAAATCATAAAAAAACAGTGCAGCGCTCTAAGAGACTGTATCTACAACTAAATGGTAATAAATCAATAACATTAATAAAATTGATATAATATAATAGTGCCAAAAAAAATAAAGTAAAAAATTAGTGCCAAACCATGATGAAAAAACATAAAAAAATGAAGTGCCAAACCATAACCATGTAAATGGTGTGTACACAATTAGTAATATTAAATCACACTCCAAAAATAACATCCAATAAAGGAAATCTTAGCAGTGCTCACACAGTGCCACAAAAAAAATAAACATAAATAAATGCATCCAGAACAATGTCCTTTTAGTGAAAAATGACATAAATCATGCGATGTGCAATAGTGATATTGAATGCAACACGTCACTGTGCCAAACTCCTCCTCGTTAGCGGCTAAATTGCCTCCTCACCTCCTCCTACTGACCCCAAGGGGCCAACAGACTTGCAGGATCACCCTGGATCCTTAATAGACCATGGCCAGCAGCTTCCTTCCTTCCCTGGATCTCCTTAGAGGGGCTCCTAATTCCCCTATTCAGTCAGGGCGGTCCTGAAGAGTAATAGCTCACAATCCAGTGAGCCACAAAAAAGCCTCTAAGTGCAGTATTCGATTAACTCGGTTTATTTCAAAGAGTAAAAAAGGTTTCACTCACATTACAGACAATCTTCCCTCCTCACTGATGTGTGGGTGTACTGCATGTGGCTGGGACCTCTTGGGTGTAGCAAAATGGCGTCTCCCGCCGGATAGAAATATTTTCCTTAAAGATAGAGTGGATGTCAAAGGGTTCGATGCTCAAATTGCGGTTATTTTAGATTATAATGTACATTTTAAAAAGATAGAAAATATTTTTAAAAAACATTGGGACATCCTTAAGTTGGATCCGGTTATAGCAGCGGTTCTCAACCTGGGGGTCGCGACCCCTTTGGGGGTTGAACGACGCTTCCACAGGGGTTGCCTAAGACCATCGGAAAACACATATTTCCGATGGTCTTAGGAACCGAGACACCGCTCCTCGCCGCCGCCACCGCCGTCTCCAGGTGTGGGCGGGATGACATGCTGCCCCTGTCATCTGGACACACCTCGAGATCAATCCTCGCCTGTGATTGGCCGCCGGCACTGTAGCTCAGGAGAGGCACACCGGCAAGGAGGTGGAGCTTGGAGAGGAGGAGCCGAGCTGCACCGCGAAGATCGAGCGAGTGAAGAGGAGGAGAGCGGCTGGAGAAGGAAGACATCTGACAGGTAAGTGTCGGTACCATGGGAGAGGGAGGGAGCGAGCGAGCCCAGGCTGCTGGAGCAGGGGTCTGCAAGGTAAGTATCATTGGTGTCAGTGGGAATAGTGCCCCATCATTGGTGTCACTAATACCAATGATGGGGCACTATTCCTCCCACTGACACCAACGATGGGACACTATTCCTCCCACTGACACCAATGATGGGGCACTATTCCTCCCACTGACACCAACGATGGGGCACTATTCCTCCCCCAAATGACACCAACAATGGGGCACTATTCCTCCCCCACTGACACCAACGATGGGGCACGATTCCTCCCCCCACTGACACCAATGATGGGGCACTATTCCTCCTCCCACTGACACCTATGATGGGGCACTATTCCTCCCACTGATACCGATGATGGGACACTATTCCTCCCACTGATACCGATGATGAGGCACTATTCCTCCCACTGACACCGATGATGGGGCACTATTCCTCCCACTGACACCGATGATGGGGCACTATTCCTCCCACTGACACCGATGATGGGGCACTATTCCTCCCACTGACACCCGATGATGGAGCACTATTCCTCCCACTGATACCGATGACGGGGCACTATTCCTCACACTGACACCGATGACGGGGCACTATTCCTCACACTGATACCAATGACGAGGCACTATTCCTCCCACTGACACCAATGACGGGGCACTATTCCTCCCACTGACACCAATGATGGGACACTATTCCCCCCCACTGATACCAATGATGGGGCACTATTCCTCCCACTGACACCAATGATCGGGCACTATTCCTCCCACTGATACCAATGATGGGACACTATTCCTCCCACTGATACCAATGATGGGGCACTATTCCCCCCCACTGACACCAATGATGGGGCACTATTCCTCCCACTGATACCAATGATGAGGCACTATTCCTCCCACTGATACCAATGATGGGGCACTATTCCTCCCACTGACACCAATGATGGGACACTATTCCTCACACTGACACCAATGATGGGGCACTATTCCTCCCACTGATACCAATGACGGGGCACTATTCCTCCCACTGACACCAATGACGAGGCACTATTCCTCCCACTGACACCAATGACGGGGCACTATTCCTCCCACTGACACCAATGATGGGGCACTATTCCTCCCACTGATACCAATGATGGGGCACTATTCCTCCCACTGATACCAATGATGAGGCACTATTCCTCCCACTGACACCTATGATGGGGCACTATTCCCCCCACTGACACCAATGATGGGGCACTATTCCTCCCCCCACTGACACCAATGATGGGGCACTATTCCTCCCCCCACTGACACCAATGATGGGGCACTATTCCTCCTCCCACTGACACCTATGATGGGGCACTATTCCTCCCACTGATACCGATGATGGGACACTATTCCTCCCACTGATACCGATGATGAGGCACTATTCCTCCCACTGACACCGATGATGGGGCACTATTCCTCCCACTGACACCGATGATGGGGCACTATTCCTCCCACTGACACCGATGATGGGGCACTATTCCTCCCACTGACACTGATGATGGAGCACTATTCCTCCCACTGATACCGATGACGGGGCACTATTCCTCACACTGATACCAATGACGAGGCACTATTCCTCCCACTGACACCAATGACGGGGCACTATTCCTCCCACTGACACCAATGATGGGACACTATTCCCCCCCACTGATACCAATGATGGGGCACTATTCCTCCCACTGACACCAATGATCGGGCACTATTCCTCCCACTGATACCAATGATGGGACACTATTCCTCCCACTGATACCAATGATGGGGCACTATTCCCCCCCACTGACACCAATGATGGGGCACTATTCCTCCCACTGATACCAATGATGAGGCACTATTCCTCCCACTGATACCAATGATGGGGCACTATTCCTCCCACTGACACCAATGATGGGACACTATTCCTCACACTGACACCAATGATGGGGCACTATTCCTCCCACTGATACCAATGACGGGGCACTATTCCTCCCACTGACATCAATGACGAGGCACTATTCCTCCCACTGACACCAATGACGGGGCACTATTCCTACCACTGATACCAATGATGGGGCACTATTCCTCCCACTGATACCAATGATGGGGCACTATTCCTCCCAATGACACCAATGACGTGGCACTATTCCTCCTACTGCAAAATTACAGTTATGAAGTAGCAACGAAAATAATTTTATGGTTGGGGGTCACCACAACATGAGGAACTGTATTAAGGGGTCGCGGCACTAGAAAGGTTGAGAACCACTGGGTTATAGGGAAAGCATTACCTGATTCCCCTAGATTTATTTATAGAAGAGCTCCTACGGTTAGGACAAAGGTGGTCAAAAATGTACTAGATCCTCCCACAACAAATCATATCACTTTCCTGAATGAAAAAGGTTTTTTTCCATGCAGAAATTGTTTCACATGTTTGGCTACTAAGCGATCAAACAAGAGACGGAAAAGTTTTATTGCTACCACTACGGGCCAGGAATATCGGATTAATGACTTTATATCTTGCAAAACGGAGGGAGTCGTATACTGTTTGGAGTGTGAATGTGGGCTCCAATACATAGGCAGGACGAAGAGACCACTGTGGAAAAGGCTAAGGGAGCATGTCCAGAATATTAATAAAGGATTTCCAAAACACAGTGTTTCCAGACATTTTGCATTATATCACAATAAAGATCCCAGTAAAATGAAATTTTGGGGGATTGAGAAGTTTAGGAAACACTGGAGGGGGACTAATAAAATTAAATCCCTTAGCCAGGCCGAGTCGAGGTGGATCTATTGTATGAATACGCAAGTTCCCAAAGGGTTAAATGTTGAGTTCGACCTAAATAGCTTCATCAGTGACTACTAGGTTATGCTTTATTCACTCCTTTTACATTATGATTAACTTTTTACTCATAAAGGCATAGTAGAGGGAATACTGGAAGGGTCATTATTTTTATTCTATCCTAATAGATTTAATCAATATCTATTATTAGAAGTCTATATTTGAGGTATTATTAGTTCTCTTTTTATTAAATCTTATTCATTTATTATTGGTCTATTAGTAATAATGTTTTAGATTTAAGTATGAATTTAATCTGTATTTTAAAGAGATGGTAGAGGTAGTTTTACCATTTTTTCTTATTATGTCTATATATTGTATTGATTGTGAATTATGATGGATGTATATTTATAAAGTATATTTATTAATTTTTTTATTTTTTAAATATTTTAATGTTTAAATGTGTGGGTAGATTACATGAGGTAGGGATTCTAGTTATTTTTATACGTATTGTTTTTCTATATTTTTATTGGTATAAAATACATGGCTGTCCCCTTAGTTTATCCCCCAGATTTGTAGACGGTGTGTCTATACATTTATATATATCCTTTTATCTTTATATTAAAGTTTAGTAGAATACCTTGTTTTTATTTATATATGATAGGGGAATCCATTGACATTTACAATTCAGTCCCCTAAATGTGGTTTATTTTATTAGTAAGTTAGGATTTCCTGACTTACAGCCACTGATTTCTATGGTGCGGTGTCCATTCAGAATAGGAGATTCTCCTATTCATTACATACGGCTTTATGCGGCTGATTGAATGACAGGAGGGAGTCAGGAAAATGGCCGCCGTTATGAATGGGAGACGTAGCCGAGAAAATGGCGCGGGCGCGGGCACGGTTGAATACATGGGAGGTGGGCCTCTAGTCAAGCCATCACATTAGGTCCAGTATAAAGGGAGGAACTGCACTCGTAGTGCGATACCCAGATGAAGTCACGAGTAGACGGTGACGTAATGCGTAGGTACGCGAGTTCGTAGTTCCGGTGCGTGGTGACGCATTTCCGGCGGGAGACGCCATTTTGCTACACCCAAGAGGTCCCAGCCACATGCAGTACACCCACACATCAGTGAGGAGGGAAGATTGTCTGTAATGTGAGTGAAACCTTTTTTACTCTTTGAAATAAACCGAGTTAATCGAATACTGCACTTAGAGGCTTTTTTGTGGCTCACTGGATTGTGAGCTATTACTCTTCAGGACCGCCCTGACTGAATAGGGGAATTAGGAGCCCCTCTAAGGAGATCCAGGGAAGGAAGGAAGCTGCTGGCCATGGTCTATTAAGGATCCAGGGTGATCCTGCAAGCCTGTTGGCCCCTTGGGGTCAGTAGGAGGAGGTGAGGAGGCAATTTAGCCGCTAACGAGGAGGAGTTTGGCACAGTGACGTGTTGCATTCAATATCACTATTGCACATCGCATGATTTATGTCATTTTTCACTAAAAGGACATTGTTCTGGATGCATTTATTTATGTTTATTTTTTTTGTGGCACTGTGTGAGCACTGCTAAGATTTCCTTTATTGGATGTTATTGATTTATTACCATTTAGTTGTAGATACAGTCTCTTAGAGCGCTGCACTGTTTTTTTAGGACCTTGACATGACCACACAAAATATTGACACTTTGGGCCCAATTTGGACATTTCCACTTGGGAGTGTACTCACTTTTGTTGCCAGCGGTTTAGACATTAATGGCTGTGTGTTGAGTTATTTTGAGGAGACAGCAAATTTACACTGTTATACAAGCTGTACACTCACTACATTGTAGCAAAGTGTTATCTCTTCAGTGTTGTCACATGAAAAGATATAATATGAAGGGGGAGGAGCCTGAGCATGGCGCCAAATGGGAGACCGCAGTAGGGTCTCCCGTACCAAAGCTCCTCCATCGCCTTGCCGGGGACAGTTACCCGAAGGAGGAAGGGGCTGGTGTGTGGCTGTGCCCTGACGAGAGGATCTGGCTCCCAGTCCAGCTTCCGTGAGCCCTCGATGTGCTGGGAGATGGACGGAGGCGGGCTGGTAGGAGCTAGAGCCGGAGGCGGGGAGAACAGGAGAGCAAGATCCGGAGAATGCTGGGCGGTCATGTGACCTGATGCAGGGAAGCCCAGAGGGGAGAGAGATGCCTGCCAGCATGAGAGAGGACATGCAGTCCTGAACACACCTCTCCCCCCTGTCTTCCTCACCCCCTAGCTTGACCTATTGCTGGAACTGATGTGAGTTGAAGCAGGGAGAGTGCCTAGAACCCAAAAAGTCCTGCTGACATAGAGGATCCCTCTTTTTGAAACCCCCTGGATGAGATTGCCTGTGGCCACCCCCCCCCCCCCAGAAATGGAGAAGTGAGAACAAAATGGGTGAGTGAGAGTAGCAGAAGAGAAGTTTATGGATTGTAAAATATGTTATGCGTTACACTAATTGAAAAATGAAGTTAAATATGGATGTATTAAAGGAGCAAGAGATGTATATAAGAGTCATCATAGAAGTTTAAAGTGAGTCTTCAATATTAACGTACCTAAATAGATGAAAGGAAAAACAAAAGAGAGAAGATCTAATAAGGTCACTAGCTCCTAAAGGGAGTCAACGAGGGAGATAGGCGGTTTGAAGAAGGGGAAGATTTAAAGGTGGAGTGGAATATTGAGCTTGACAGATACTGGATATTATAAATATATTAAAATTAAAAATAAAGCAACTAAAGGAGGGGGGCCAAAAGACCCCATAGCAAGCTCAATCAAGAAATATATCCCCGGGCAGGATAAACGAACCCCTGAGAGGCAAAGTGGATTAAACAAAAAGAGTGTGATCAAGAACAACGATGGTGAGAGCCCCAGACTATCCCTGGGAATGTCTAATATTTACCAAAATTTGGAAGAAATAGATATTATGAGAATAAATATTCTGGAGAATTTGGAAAATCAAGACTTACATTTACCGACTAAATCAGAGATTTACAGACTTTAGAATATAAAATGGTGATATGAAAAGAGAACACAGAATTCTACTTTATAAATTGGAAGCTCAGGAAAACAGGAACAGAAGACGCAATTTAAGGATACGGGGTCTACCAGAGATCTCCCAAGGAGAGGATCTGAGCGAAACGATAGAGAAATTGTTAGATATAATAATGGACAGATCTGCAGCAAAACCCTATTGAATTGATGGGATATATAGAACGGGAAGATTATATAAAGAAGGAGGAAAAGGAAGACCGAGAGATGTTATAACTCAATTCCATTATTATCGGGATAGAGAAGAGATCTGAAGGAGGATGAAAGGAAGAGCTGATATAAAATATGGAGACATAAATATACAGATCTATGCAGATCTGGCTGCAGAGACTTTGTCAAGAAAGAAAATTTTGAAACCATTAGTAGAACAAATGAAAAAGCAGAACATTCAATATAGCTGGGGGTTACCAGCACGTTTAACCGGGTGGAAAAATGGTCGATCTGCAAGATTAAAGTTTCCTGAAGAATTGAGAGACTACTGTGAGAGACTTGAGTTGCAGAATGTGGACATTCCTGGGTGGGGAAGGGGGGGGGTGGAATGGGGAAAGTGAGAGGTGGAGGGTAGTATAGGGGGGAGGAGAGAGGGGGGGAATGGGGGAGAGAGTAAGATGATTTTCTTTTTCTCTCTCTCTCTTTCTTTCTCTCTTGCTCCTCTTTGTGACCTCCCTCTCTTCCTCTCCTCTTCTCTTTTTCTTTCCCCCCTTTTTTTTTTATTCTTTCTCTCTCTGGCTAGACAATGGAGGGGGGTAAATGGGAACAGGTGTGCATGATCAGAGCTTCACCCTATAGTGGAATCAAGAGTGGGATAAGGACCACAAATGATTCATAGGCAAAATATTGGCCTAAAAAAGGAGGGGATGGGAAGGGGGGAGGGGATGGGAATTAGGAGGGGATGGGAGTTGGGAGGGGTGGGAGTAGGGTATGGAAGGGTATTTGGAAGCCTTAGATTTTTGAGATAGTGGGAGGTATATTCTGAAGAAATTCTGGAGAACGAAGAGGGAGAGAAAGAGGAAGGGAGAAAG